TTTTCTTTATTGAATCTAATTCTTTTTTCATGTTTTACACCATTTCCTTCATCTGTTTCATTGTGGATTCCTGTCTTCCCAGGATGGCCTGTATTTTTTTGTTTGCTTCCTCTCTATGTGTCAGTACTTGTGCCTCTATTTGTTTTGCTGTATTTGCATGTATTTCTTTGAGAGGTTTGTTCGTTTCTTCTTTATATACCTCTAATAACTGTGTAAGCATAGATTTGAGATAATTTTCCTGTGTTTCTAATAAATTAGCATGTCCATTGATTTGGGGGGTTGCTGGTGAAGCCATGATGTCCTGATTTTTGTTGTATGTGTTCTTCTGCAGACCTCTAGCCATCAGCTTATCTGTAACCTTCGCTGTTTGTTCCTGGAGTCTGTACTTCTGACTGGGTCCATCTTTCTCTGGTGTCTGAAGTATTCTTCAAAAAGATGAGAGAGGCCCACCAGTTTAAGAGTAGATGTTGGTGTATCTGCTGTAGCTAAGGGAGAAGGTCACAGGCACAGGTGCCCAAGCACAAGCATGCAAGTGTTGTTGCCCAAGTATGGGCTTGTGCATGGAAGCGTGCCTTAAAGGACAGAGTGTTAAAGCAAGTCGATTCCTGGAATGTGGAGCTTAAGCGCAGGAGGGCGTGTGGGTACTGGTTCTGTTGGTGGGCCCAATGCACATGAGCATGCACACTTGCCCTGAATACCTCACTGGCCTACAAGCCTGTCATACTGTCCTCCTGGTGTTCAGATCTGTCTGGGTTCCAGGAACTGTTTGCATGAACTCTACTGGTTGGCCCACAGAAAAAGGCTTCAATGTTGAGAATGCTGTCCCAAGGATCCCTATGTTGCCAACAGTGAGGGTATGGGTGGAAGGAATCCGATGTCTGTCTGTTAGTGTAGAGTGACCCTGGATCTGGGGCTGTGCACGCATTCACTTGAAGGTGCACTAACTTGCTAGCTGGCCTAATAGGAAAGCACAGGGGTCCCACCTGTTCTCTCCTTTTAGATTTGGGACCACGAGGGCAAATGAGACTGTAGGAGATTTGTTAGCTTGTTGGTGTTCACTTTTTGTCTTCTGGGAAGGGAGACATGTAGTTGGGGTAGCTACCTCTTCTGCCTCAATCACAGAGTGGGAAGGCTCCTGCCAGGGCAGTCCCCACCTAGCCACTGCTGCAGACCTGAGAGGCTGGTACAGCTGCCTGCTGGGAGGCCCTGGGATGTGCATGCTGCAGCCTGCCACCACAGACTTGGGAGGCTTCCCTCTGCTGTCTCAGTCACTGAGCAAGGAAGTTCATGCCTGAGGAATCACTGCCACCTCCACTGGCGAGGGAGGCCCGTGCTTGGGTCAAGGGGAAGTGCAGGGGTGTTGGATATTCACTATTCTCAGTCCCCAGAGATGTCTGCAGTTGACATGGATCCAAATAGTCTCAACTCACGGGTTGTCCCCTCTCACCCAGGAAGCCTCAATGTCGATGTTCTGGCTTCAGCTGCTCCTCCATTCACCAATTTTGGAGTTTTGGATCCTGTGCCCCTCTGATATGGTGCACTCTGGTCACTGCCATCTTGGACTCCTATCCATATTCATTAATATATATATAAATGAATAACTTTGAAATACAATCACATTTACAGGACTAGGAGACTATCAAGTATAAAACATTGATTTTTCTTAATCAAAACACATATTACTAGTGCAAAAATATGTGATGCTCAAGCATTTGAAGACAGCTTCAGAAAGAGATCAACTCTCTTTGAGAACTGAGAGGAAAGGCAGGCTGATATACATATTTAACCTAAAAAACTCTGCAAAGTCTTTGGTGATACAGACAAGATTGTTCTAAAATGTATTTAGGAAGCCAGGTAAAGAAGAAGAGCTGACAGACTTTTGAAAAAGAACAAAGTATGAAGAATCACTCTACAGAGTTTCAAGATTTGTTACATCATTATAGAAGTCATTATTACTATGGTATCAACAGGTAGACAGGTGGCTCAATGGAATAGAGACTCAGGCACAGCCACTTACAAGTATGGACAGCTAGATTTTTACAAGGGTACAATAGCAGTATCAATGGAGAAAAGACAATTTCACTAGATGGTGCTAGAATAATTGAACATCCACAAGCACAGATATAAACCTTGTTCTTTTGAAAAAATGAACTCAAAATGCATTGTAGATTTCAATATAAAATGTAAAACTATGAGCATGTATAATTAGGCACAGAATATCTTTAGATCTTTAGAACACAGGACTCAACAAAATTATTTTTATTTTTTTATTTTTATTTATATTAACTACTATTTTTATTCATTTTGAATCCCAGCTGTAGTCCCCTCCTCCATCCCCTCCCAATGTCACCCTCCTTCCCTTTTCTTCTATGCCCCTCCCCCAATCCAATGATAGGGGAGGTCCTCCTCCCCTTCCATCCGACTTTAGTCTATCAGGTATCTGTGCAGGAGTTCTAGGTTATTTTTTGACATGTACTTGTGTGTACATGTTCTTGCAGCACCACTGTAAGTTTTGGGAGATCAGAGAACCATTTGCAGAAGTTCCTTCTCTTCTTCCACCATGTAGTTTCTGGGAAGCAAACTCAGGGCATCTTGTTTAGCAGCAATCATCTTTACCCACTGAACCATCCCACTGGCCTTAACTTTAACAGAATTTTTACACTTAACAAAAAATTGAATTGAAGCCTATGAGACTGGAGGCACTCTAGCACTTTAAATTCCTACATAAACAAACCAAAACCTAATGTAAGCATTCCAGTAAAATCAGAAACTGTACCAATCAGAAGCTGGATGTAGGGGCCATACTGCTGTAACCCCAGAATTTAGAAGGCTATAGGAGGAATATTATTAGTTCCAGACCATCCTGGGCTATAAACAATGAGAGCTATTTTAAAATGAAAGGGAAGGAGGAAGAAAAGGAAGGAGAGAGGAAGGAGGGAGATCATTTCTCAACAAGATAGAAAAAGAGGACCAATCCCACCCCCAAAGCTTTTCTCCTGACCTCCACATGTGCACTATGGCAGAGAATATATAATATTGTACACACACACAAAAAAAATAAATGAATACATTTCAAAACCAACAATAACAAACATGATAAAATACTTCACCAAAAACACAAAGATAACTAATAAGTACATGCTTAATCCCCAGAGAGCTGCCCTTAGCCAGTCCTTCTCATTACTGTTTAACCAAACTCATCAACTTCCTGACTCCATTCCCATTCCCTCTCACTTTCCTTTTCCCCTCCTGCAGCCCTGTCCTCCTGTGCACAGTAGCCTGGTAAGGTACTCCCAATCCTTGTGCAGAGTGGAGCAACCTGATTTGGTCCTGAAAGACTATTCCCATCTACTCCATGCTGTGAACTTCATCTTAGTATCCAGAGGAAGCTAATCCTGGACACTTAAATCCACCCAAGTCAGGCAACTGCTGAGAAATGAGGCAAAATGGTAAAGAAAAGAGGGGCTTTCAGGCCTACAAAGAGGGCCAAGCAGAGCTGAGTACAACAGGGTTCCTTCTGCTACTGCCCTTATCAAGCTACAGAGACCACCAGCTTCTTTCCTCACCTGTTCTCAGATCAGCAATAAATATACTCATCTGGGGGTTTTCTATTCCTTAAGCAGCAAAAAGCTTTCAACTCTGTTTTAAATGTGTTGCTTAGAAGACCTCCCCTATCAGTGGGCTTGGGGAGGAGCATGCATGCAGAGGGTGGAGGAAGGGAGGGATTGGGATGGGAGGAGGGAGGGAACCACAAGGAGGATACAAAGTGAATAAAGTGTAATTAATAAAGAATTTTTTTTAAAGTGCAAAATAAAAAAGAAATGTGTTGCTTAATAGTCAGCAAACTAACTTCTAGTTATTTCACTATGGAAATTGGTGAAAGCCAGAGAGTATGGCTGGTTAAGTGTATGACAGATTATCCAGTGTAGAGAAGGGAAAAGTTGGTGTGGGGTGGTGGCAGTGGTGGTAGTGGTTGGTGGTGGTGGTGGTGTGTGTTAGACTCTGTGCTTGCATGTGTGTGTGTGTGTGTGTGCATGTGTTACAGAGTTTGTGTTGTAGGGTGTATGTATATGTGGTATGAGCTGTGGGGGGGGAGAGAGAAAGATGTGGGGTGATATGTGTATGTGCGTGTGTTGTGGAGGACAAGGATGGGAGTGTGTGTGTGTGTGTGTGTAACTCTGTATATATCTGTTCTTATGGTAGTATGGTAGATTCTATGTATGTATGTCTGGTTATAGGGTTTGTGTTGTAAAATATATATTCTGTGGAATTTTTGTGTGATATGGGGTGGTATGTGTGTGTCTTGGGATGGTGTGTGTGTGTTGTGGAGGATGAGGGTAGGGGTGTGGTGTGTTTTAAACTCTGTATGTGTGTGTTGTGGGGTACACATGGATGTGGTGTCAAGTTTATGTGTATGTGGTGTAAGGTGTGTGTGTGTGTGTGTGTGTGTGTGTGTGTGTGTGTGTGTGTGTG